CTTTTAATTTAGGTGGTGTCTTATCAAAAAAATTCGTTTCAAAAAAAAATCCCACAAATATTAAGAAACAAGAATTTAAATTTGATGAAAGTGATCCTAATCTACTTCAAAATATTGAGAATCAATTAAAAATATGGAATGAACAATTTAAAAAAGTTGACGTTGATACTTCATTTTTTCTTAATAATAATGGTGAGGCAATTAGTCGTGACGGAATTAAAGATTGGTTGAAAAATCTTGAAAATAAACCTAGCAACTGGGAGGTTATTTCTTCGGAAGATTGGATGCCAATATGTAATATTATTTCTAAAGGGGAAAATTTAATACAAGATATTAAAAAAAAAATAACGATTAAATTTCCTAAGCCATTTTCTAATAAAAACTATCATATAGTTGGAAATGTTGTTAAGGAAAATGTAGATTATTGGGAGAATGTTCCAGAAATAACAGTCATATTCGATCGCGTTAATGAAAATACATGTGATGCATATATCCGAATTAATTCTACAATAAGGTAATATATTTATAACTATTAAACTTTCTTATTTATTTACAGTATCATATTTGGGTTTATTTGATTTTTATTTTTTAAATTATTAGTCAAGGTTTATGTTTATATAAAATCTGTTGGTATGTGCTTACTGCCAGGTGAACAATAACAGTATTAAAATGTTCACACGAATAAACTAATACAGTAAGTATCGCGATATTCTATTTTAAAATGATTTAAATTCAGGTTAATAAAATTATATAAATTCTTACGTACAAATTGGTTTTACTTTAAATCTTTCAGGAGTTTGAAAAGACTTATAAGTTAAATTATTAGAATTGCGAACTTTTTTAGTCATTGTTAATATGTTTAATGTCTATACCACTTTTTTTTTTATTTAACAAAATTGTTTTTTTTTCGAATTTTTAACAAACTTAATATGTTTATAATGGTTAAAATTTTGTAATTTTTGTCTATAATAAAAATACTATGATTTAATAGATTGTCTAAATTATAAATTTTTATAAGTTGCCATATAACAATACTTATTTTTTCTCTTTAATGTTTATTGTGTTTATAGAATGTTCATTGTTATTTACTTTTGCAAAAACTAAGATTACGGGTAATCAAGTATACATTATGGCTGTAAAAAAAGGTTTTATATATAATTTTTCAGCAGTTTGAATGATAAAAATCAAATAAAC